CTCCATCGGCGGAACAAGCTCTCGGCTTTCGACATTTAGAGCACATAAGTAAGGAGAGTGGAGGGGGCACGAATGCAGAAAGAAAGATCGCGACCGTTCCGTGGTTCGTTTGTAAAGTTACTGCTTCGCAGTCGCCTCGTACTAAATGGAGAAATCCAACTACCATCAGAGCAAGCAGCCGTTGCAATTCTCCTACAAGCAGTGACTGGGAAAGCCCACAAACACTATCTAATTGGAATCGAAAAACCTCCCCCGTCGGGGCCACGAAACCCAGGACCTCCCGGCAAGGTCGTTGCAGTGGTAACAATTGTTGCCCTGAACTACCTCGGCCGGAGTGGGAGCTGGAATCCAGGCGACTTCCGCTGGCGGGACGGAAAGCGCGGCGAGGGGGGCGATTGAGGCCGGCGGGAGGGCAGTGATGACGGCGATGGAACAGGAAGCGGATGCTGCGCGGCGAGGCACGCGCGTGCGCGCGGCGGCCCGTGGCGGCACCCCGTCCCCAACTCAGGCGAAGCAACGGCGAAGATTAGAGAAGTGAGGATTTTAGAAGGCGGTTTGAAGACAAGAGATTATGAATCAAGGGCGGACTAAGAAGAGAGATTAAAAAATGAAAAAAAAAGGTAAGCAGGCACAGAACAGGAGACAATGGAGAAACGAACAAATACGTAATTATACAAGGTACAACAAACTCAACGGCAAATCATCAGGAATAGGCTTTTCATATAGAGAGAAAAGAGAAGGTCCATTACAATATGAGTCAAGGAAATATTTATTACAGAATTATATCAGAATAGTAGTGTGAACGCTCTGATCAAATTTCACTTACAAAAGACTACCACCTTACTTGTACAGACCTTACCTCGTCTTCGCATTGAGAGCTGAAAACGTTAAAAAACTAATGGTGCAACAGAATAGCACACGCTTTCTCGTACTAGTCCGATTCTTAATTTCCTAGGTCTTCGCTAGCGTTTCGGTCTTGCTTCATATTCCGCCAGCTGTCATCTATCGCCACTCGCTGGCAGACTATAAAGCCCATGCAAATTGTAAAAGTGATGAGAGTAACATAATGTAAATATAATTTTAGAATTAAGAGTAGTTAGGAATAGTTGTAAGTTTACGATATGTTAGATATTACGCATCCCCACTATATGTACCTACGTCGTGCATTGCATTCTTCCTGCCTGAAAGTGTGTCTAAACGTGTGCACGGATAGTTTTTCCATCATTTACAACATTAGATTGCGCCAGACTAAGTGTCCGGTAAGGTACACATCCAGGGAGATCAATTTCGCAAACATTTCATCAACGGACTGAAATCCACTGAAAACAGACTGAGAAACTTATTAAACTCGACTATGCCATGAGATATTTCCGGGTGCGAAGTGGTTCTCAGCATGGCGTAAGCCTAAGCATGGCGTATTCTTACACCATAGTACTCAGGTCATTTTTATTCACAATATAATTGGAACAATTGGTAAATATTATACAACATACAAGTAATATTAAGTGAATCTAAATTGTAAACCTAACACACGTTCGCGCTTCAGTCCGTACACGTGTTCACTATTGTCCAAAACATTCACTGAAAGTATTAGGTTCGTATGGTAGCTCAGTCTCGTCCCGCTGATAGGCTGCGCCATAGTTGAGATGTTCAAATCTTTGTATAAATTATTGTTGGTTTCGAACCACGGCGCCTTGCATAAATCTCTCAGACTTTTGTTTCGAATCTTCTCAGGATCTCGATGTTTCACTTGCGGGCACCCCGTGGTTTTGTGCCGTAAAACCATGTTAGCTTGATTATTGCTTTGTGCAATAATATATTATTGTATAAAGAGAGCATAGATCTTCCATTAAGTAATCATGATAATTTGCTTACTTTCATTTGTGAATCATTCCTATTTTTTATGATATGGGGTTTCCAGGTGAAGTCGCTATCTAGATGTAAACCAAGATATCTCACTGCACTTGTTACTAAGAGTAATGAAGAGTTTAGTTTCATTTTGCTTTTCATTTCTTACACAATATAATTGCTCATATAACAGTTCACACATTTTAGTCCAGCTATTAAAGTGAGTATTGAGTTAATAAAAATATTTGAATACTCCACAAGAATTTCTGGACGGCATTTGTTTTGTAATTATTTCTGTCTTTATGACGAACCAACTTCTTAAGTTATTCGTTCAGAATTCTTAAACCCTTCGAATCGCGAACCCTAAAACGATCGATTATTCTTGGAAAGAACACTGAAACCTATATTTTGGGTATAAACCCTACCCGAAATACCAACTCTCCCCCGATCGCAGACCAGCCACTTAATCACAATTTCCTACATTTATTCCTCTCAAAATACTACTTTCTGGAAAATGATAAGAATACCGAACTTTCAGTACCAGTTAAAATAAAAATTGGTGACGTTGTAAACGATATTCGCGCAATATACCCTGCCAAAAATTCAATCTTCCACGAAAAGGGGAGCGAGGGGATTCCTGGAATCGTGTAACAATATACCGTGAGCACTAATGTGGTATCACGGCAACTACCTCCATACTGAATTACATGAGCCTTCCGTAACATACCTTCCTGGAAGAACATCTGGTGCGCTAGAATATCAATGTCGGTAGTCAGCATTATTAGGGAGATATGCCAGCGTTCGCGGAAAGCATTCGACTGCTTTTGTGGGTCTGCGCATGCGCAAACTTGAAATCGAACTAGGTGTTAGCGAACCTCGCCAGGTCCCGCTAATTCGTCGTATTTAGCGGGCGACTTACTTCGCATGGTAATCGATCATTCGGCAATTTTATATGGAATTTGTTCTCGACTGTGGCAGCAGAGTGTGCTACTAACTTTATTTTCATACAGTCCCTAGATGTATATCCAGGGACTCTGTATATTATTGCTGTGCTATGCTGCTGTATGCTATTAACGCAGTCTTTTCGGGTTTGCCAACTGGATTTGATTAAAGTTCAATTTGTGTATGAGTGATAATGTTTTTAATTGACCGAAAGCATTGTCAACCGTAATTAATCGGATATGTAGTAAAAGCTTCACAAGGTTTTGATTGATTGTTTAGTGATTCCGGGCATGTCAACCACCAGGGTCATTCGTCCCGTAAGTGTAATGCATGTTTTTTGCTTGGGAAGTGGTGTTGATATTTTCCCGGCTGTATGGCGAGATCCGGCGCCGACTTACCGTCGGCTAGCCGGGTTTTCTCCAACCAGGTATCTCTCACCAGCGGGACACCGCCCCAGCCGGGACAAGCTGACAGCTCTCGACGAGTCTCCCGGCATGCGTGGTAGTGTAGTGCGTGTTAGGGTTAGTGTGTGTGTAAGGGAGTGAGATAAGGACAAGGAAGAGGACGGTGAGATCGCGCGCGGTTCATGGCCGTTCGTAAGGAGAAACCACGGAAAACTACCGATCAAAGCAGCCGGCCGCTAGAATTCTCCAGATAGCTACAGAAAATCCTGCCACCGTCCGGACTCGAACCTTGGACCTCCTGGTCAGAGGGACTGCAGTGACATCAGATGATGCCTTCAGCCATCTCCTATCACCCGGTGGCTTCACAAGAAATAGGCAAACTATCAGTAAAAGTGTTAAGTGTGTAGTGAAATCATTGGTTACGTCAAAGTGAATTACTACCGCAGAAGAAGAAATGTCATTAAAAATAAAATTAAAATTAAAAGAGTTGTATCATTTCTAGTTACTGGGTCAAACGATATAAATCCGTATTAATAGGAGGTTTTTTTTAGTGCTGTTAATTTCAAAGTATTCATTGGGTTACAAATTAACCAAAAGTTTGGATTACTCGACTTTAACCACACCCATGAACTGTCAAGCACCGCTCTAGTATTCATTTATCATTAAATATGAATACTGAAGAAGCCTTTAGCAATTTACTTTCATGGATATTCAAAATTTCGATTAGGTTTTTTAATCAGAGAACATTAATACGTTGTATTTATGAAACTGCTACCACTAATGCAGTGGCGTCAATGGGATTTGAATCCTGTATTTACTGAAAGTGGGTCTTGTCATACAACACTATGTGGATCTTCAATGTGTAGTTTGCCAGTGTACGAGTATCATTATGTCACGGTGTAGGTTATGTCAGTCAAATTGACAGATTATTTGTGTGAAGAAAAAATGATATGATTCTAAAATAATACTGAAATAGTGAATGCCTTTGTGAACAAAATGAATTAGGGAAGAAAAAGATTTGTATTTTACTCATTGCTTCTGTTCTTTTGCTGTATAATAGTGTTTCTCATATGTACTCATATGAACTTCATTTCTGTTTTACATATTTTATATAGGAATACTAGCATTGACATGTATGTGAGATCTGGGTACAAATTTTAATACTAATTTTATTTTATGTATAATATACGTACATACAAGTAATGAAAATTTACAAAAGCTCCAAATGAGGTTACATGAACTGAACAGGTCAGAACAGCAGATTACAATTTTACGTTAGCAACACATTGTGTTGCCACAATTTGGAACTTCTTCCATTGTGGCTATACGTTTCGACCTAATCATGCAAAAGTTTTTCTCGATTTCATCCAACATTATATCGATAGGTCTTTTGATCGTTTCAATGTCCGAGGTGGCACAAACTCCCCATTGTTTTCCCCCCATAACACGCGAATGTTTCGAATCCTAATGTAGCGTACGTCACACACTTGAATACATCACTTTAATTGATAAGTATTTTATTATGTTATTCAAACTGAAACCTTCGCCTGCTTCAAAGGCCGCCATTTTTCAAGTCTCATGGAGAGTTTATTTTTCTTGCAAATCGAAGACTGCATTAAAGAAGGTCATTGTGAAGAGATGTGAGCAAGCACAATATTTGGAGTGTAAGGGGATTGGACAACTACCCTAAAGATACTTGAAGACATTAAGGTCATTTTATCCATAAATTGTGTATTACGCGCTTACATTTGAAAGAGAAACTAATTTGAAACGAAACGTTGAAACTCGTAAGTCTCCGAAACAAACTGCGCCATCTCCACACGCTGCTTCAGCGGCGACGGCGGCGGTGGCCGGCCAGCCTGCATGACATTAGGAGCCGCTGATGCAGAAGCGGCTTTCCCCTGATCCGCGCGGCGCCCCCTTCTCCTCGGCTGCTTCTTCCCCTCCTCCTCCGGGTGCCGACGACCTTCGTCCGCGTGGGGCAGCCATCTGCCGGTGCACGAGGTCGGGGATTCCTCTGCGCGCCGCCCGCGCCGCCCGCGCCGAGCCCTGGGCGCTCTTCGCCGCTCCTCCGCCCCGGCTCAAAGGCGATCGGGTGCAAGCGAACGGGCGGTATTTTCCAGAACGCGCGTCGGGGGACTTGACAGATAGGAAATTCCTGATGCGTTCATACCCATGGAGGGAACGCAAGGTCTTTCTTGCCATTTGAATATCTCCACTCGGAACGGCGTGACCTTGACGGATAGCGTGCCCTTCGAATTCAAGAAAAGTTGAAGAATACGAGGGAAAAAATGCGATAGTTGTGATAATTGCTAATGATAAATTTGCTAGTTGTGATAATTTGTGAAACACAATATGAAAATGTTGCATTTTTCATGTCTGACGCCTTACACGAGAGTGCCTCAGCCCATGATTGCTAATTTTGAAAGTTATTTGATTTCATATAATTACTTGATTTCCGTAAAAATTTTTAACGAAGAAATACCACATAAATACGCCTGCCAATACGTGACTAATTGACTCCACTCTCTTTGAAGAATCGGTTCATATTTGCAGACCACGTGAACTTTACAGATAGTTTGGACATATTGCACTTTAATGATTCTTTAATTTTGGTCTCTTTGAATATGTAACCATTCCTTATTTTTAAACAAAATAAAATGTTTGGAATGTACTATGCAACGCACGTGCTATGAAAGAGCGTACAAAAAGGAAAGGAAAGGCGGGGTGGGATTCGCGAAACCAAGGCCGTCGGGGCCCTGGCTCGCAGCCAGAGGGCCTACCGCTTGCCCCCTTTCCCGGCCAACTGCGTTCTCAACCATGGAAGGTTTTCCATGGATTTCAAAACAACGATGTAACTCGTCGTAAAGCTCGTTCTCCAACGCTTCTAAATGCGCTAAATATTCTGTCCCAATCACTTCTCGACCGACATTTCAGGTCAACGGTTTATCAATTTCCACGAGACAAATCGTGTTCACAAAGAAGATAAAAAAGGCAACTATGCGAGAGAATTTCACAGAAAAATGAACCCCATAAAGTGAGGCTTTGGAGAGAGAAGATGCGCATACTTACAAAGAGTTGTTCGAACTGGAGGGATAGAGCTAATAATTCCAATAAAAAAGTCACAGAAATATGTATTACTCTATCTTCTTTCCAATTCCACTCACAAACCACCTATATGACGTAGAAATCAGTTTATTAAGTGGATTTAATCAGTTTTCACAAAAAGAGCATGAACTCCTGGTGTTTATCAAGAAAGTGTATTTATTCTGATAAACGTCATAACATTAAGCGTTTACACAATCGCCGAGTTCTCGGAGATCCCTTAATTGCGATGGTCATTATACCCCTTTTTGTAGTTATATAACGTTAATGCACAGTCACACAAAAGAAAAATAACGATAAAAAATCTCTATGTTCTGACCTTTTGTGAAAACCGTTTCTAAGATGTGCTAAATATGAATGCATCAAAACCACATCAGGAATTTCACTAGATATCAAACTTATGAAGAATCTCTCTCGAGTTAGGAGATCTTCATATTTTGATAACATTTAAATAGAAACTACTGAATAATATAATATAATAATATAATTAAATAAAACCACTGAATGAAATGTTCCAGAGTTTCACATACTAGTTACTTTTACTTTCCCTTATACGTACGTATATACCGAATAATATACGTAGTATAGGGAAAATTATGTAATGCTGCAGAAAATCGATTTCGAGAGTTCAACAGAAATACACACACCTGATACCGAAAAAGTGTTTCTTTTCAAAACATCCGTCTGTCTGCCGTCTGTGAACACTACTAGCGCTCCAGGAGTTTTTCCAAATAGAAGAAACCTTTGTCCATTTAACTCGAGTCGAAACTTTGAGATTTTGAAAATCATTCTTGAAATTTTGGGGGTACTTAACATGGAGCACCCCAGACATTTTCAATTTTTTTTCAAAAACGGCTCCAATTTTTTTCTTTAAATCTCTTGTAAGAATAGGATACCATATACTTATAAACGATGCATAGCTCCGATTTTCACGGTTAACTCTAAATTTTAGACAATATCAAAAGTATGGATTTTTTGGTTTCTTTACGACAGTTGAAATTCAAAAATTTGAGCTCTTTTGAGCTTTTGGGTAATTTTTGTAGAACCAAAAGATTGTACCAAAATGACACTTGTCATCCGATACAGTATATTGGTACGTTTATCTCAGTATCGATATGAGTGATTATAAATATAAAACAATACAATATAGTGAGCGCACAAATGAGTCTTATCAGATGTGTTAAGTTTCAGTCTAACCTATAAACGTGTTAGTATTGAAATATACTAGTTTTTGAATGTGATGTAATGAAAAATGTAATTCCAACGCAGAAAATAAAATTTAAAACACATGATTAGCTAATAAGTCTCGAAGCAAGGAGTAAGTCTGGTCATATCATGATTTTGTTCTTGGAAGTCGGCGGAGTTTTTTTTACTTTTGAGATAAAAAGGTAAGCATTGTAGACAATGACATACCAAAACCTAGGAAAGAAGATATTCTACCAGACAGCCAAAACAAACGAGTTGCCTTATGCGTGAGCAGAACACATTCCGAGATCCTGATCTGTGCCCCTTATGACGGGAGGAAAAAAGGCTCGGGACCCTACTATTAAAAAAGGTTTACTCTTCGCAGTGGCCGCAGCGCGTGCCTTCGAGCGAAGCAGTCAAGCCGACGAGACGACTCTACAATGCCCACACATCCCGCGGGACGTCACATGGCTTCGGGTGGTCCTCCGGGCGGCAGGCAGGCCTCGAAGCGAGTACGTACGGATCTCCTCGTGGCCTCCTTGATGAGGCGCAGAGGCCCGCCGCAGCCGCCGCCGCCGCCTCCGCAGCAGCAGGTGAGTAGGCCGGAGAGCGCCAGCATGACCGCAGCGCGAAGGGCGCTGGCGCCACTGGCGACTTGCAGGCGACGGGCGCGCAAGCGAGCGAGCGAGCGACCTCGTCCGCGCGCTGGGCACCGGTCCAGAACTCCCATTGCCCCCGCCGCTGACGCCCCGTGCTCGCGTGCGATCCGGACGGAAGTGCCACGCGACGCGACGCGGTGCGGTGCGGAGGGTCGCAAGGACGTACAAGTGAGGGACTCCCTCCCGTTCATGTACTTTGTTCCTTGTTGCTTCCACCATTGCGAGGTAAGAGTTCAATCTCTTATCAATTATTAAGAATCAATGACCTCATCCAGGAAGCCTTTCATAAAAAGCATCATACGATCGTCACGTGTCTAGATCTAACCTAGACCTCCGACAGAGTCTGGCACATCAGCCTCATACATAAGTTAAAAATCAGTAAGTAGGCACCTCCGGATATCAACACAATAACCAGTTTCCTATCAGAAGTTTCGTATTTAGCCGTGAATAGTTAGATTTAGAATTAAATTACTTTAATTTAAGGTTAATTTAAGTCGCCAACATTACATATATAAAAGCACTGAAGTACTGATCTAAAAGTATGTACATGTTTATTCCAATAAATAGAAAATGACAACTCACACCAACTCATCTCTTTTCAAACATGTTTTGCTTCTACCGCGATTTAGGCTGGTCGAAGTACATCTCTCGTTCTTTGTCTCTCTCTCTTCGCTCCTTTTTCTCGACGGTGACAAACTCAACAAAGCAGATTCTATTAAGCAGACATTGAAGAATATTGAAAGTAGAGTAAGAATGGAAGAGGAATCAGGAAGGAAGAAAGAATAATCTAATCGTAAGTGAAACAGGTAGCAAAGAAAAGCTTTCAATTTGGACAGCAAATTAACTTCCAAGAGAACAGAGAATTGGGAAGGAAAAGAAACAGGAGTCAGAAGGCTCGTCAGACATAAACAATTGAACGCGTATTTTGCAGACTCGTGCGTTGTCATTGGGCGAAATCGTTTTTTTCTACGTTCTACCGATGTTTATCAATAATATTCAAGTTTCTTTTCGTTAATTCTTTCAAAAATTTCCTTGGGATATACGAACATACAATAGGGACCTACAGTGTGAACGCAAAGACGATTGGGAGAATACGGAGATCACAGTCCGGGAACTAACGGTCTAACCAATGACATTACCGCTACCAACTGCGCTCGACCTTTTTCCATTTCAATTAGGGGCCGCATGCAGCACCCGGGTCGCCCCTGCGGATCTCCGAAGTTGCCCGGCGGTGGGAGGGGGCGGAAGCGGGCGGGAACAGAGTGGAGTGGAAAGGGAGGAGGGAAGAAACAGTGGTGGACTGAGAAGAGTGCAGTGAGAAGGACCAGGAGGGATTGGGAACAGGGTGAGGTGGGAAGGAAGGCAATGGAGCAGGGCAAGCGCCGAGCAGCGAGTAGGGTGGTGCAGATCACTGGGAGCCTGGGAGATGGAGGTGGGGTTGGGGTGGGGTGGGATGGGGGAAGAAGTGAGAGATAAAGGTGCAACGGAGCGAGTCGAAAGGGCGAGGTAGGGCAGTGATGGTAGGGAGGAGTGGCCTCGAACGTTGCCGAGCGGTGATTTCTTGGCTGAGAGCGTCGGAGTTGAGAGCGCTGCCTGCAACTGGGTCGAGCCCGATATTTTAGAGGTGGAGTGGTCAGACGCTGCTGCTGAAGGGAGCGAACGAGCGTGAGTGGGAGAAGGTAAATGGAGCTGGTGTATTATTGGCTTGTCTAGATCTCTTGCCTTGCGTCTTTGTCCACGAACAGTTTTCGAAGAGGCAACATATGTAAATCTGGACAAAAGGCGCAACAATGAGACGAAACCGTTTCAAAGACTATATACTTTCTTGTTCGAAAGAACATGTGAAATTACGAATACGTTTAGTTAGAAAATCTGTTTTGAAAGAACGCATGGAAAGTATTCTACTCGTATAATTTTTCTGAAAAAGAAAAACATAAGTCTAATCCTCAAATTAAATAAAATGATACAAATGGCTGTATAATACAACGTTTAATACTGAATAGAAATATGTAAAAATAACTTAATAAACACATTCCCCAGACAATCTCATAGAACATTAATTTTTTTCGTTTTGAGATTTTTATAGCAAATTTCTGGAATGAATCGAGATGAAATGAAACCACATCACGTTAAAATATATGTTAATCAAAGCAGTTCTTTATTTGTATGAAAATGATCAAAAGTAGAAGTTGTCATAAACATTTGAAGCAGATGAATAATTTATCCTCTAATTAGCTTTAACTTTCGCGAATTTCTACATACGTTTCGTGAACTTATACTGTACTCTGAGAGTACTTTAAATGAAAATTTAAATTAATTATCATAATATAAACTCAAAAATATATCATCCCACATTGATATTACAAGTAGCTTGCCACTTCAGAAAAAAAGTCAAGAAGCAGCTACAGATTAGAGCGAAACGTAGAAAAGTCTCTGAACAATATAAATGTTATATTTCTTTGAATTGAGGGTAGTTAGTGGACTGAAATTAAACACGAATTTATGCCATGGGGCTTGCTCTCTTCTACGCGAACATGTTCTAAATATTTCCTGATCATAGCGGATGGAATATACAAGCCTCCACTTGGAAGCTCGCCAGAACGCGTGAACGCAAATATGTGTAGCTTGTCAGCGCGGGTACTGTTGAGTTACATTACACAGGCACCATAGCAACACGTAGGTTTCCCGCAGATGGGATCTCCAGACCCTCCGAAAGAGAGTATGCTGGAACTAGCAGTGTGAACCTGGCCAACCCATCAGATTGATGTTTACTAGAGGACTACGTGGCATCCCCTGTCGCACTACGCCCCTTTGCTTCGGGTTCAATCGCGTGCTGACGAAAGTTTCCGCTTAACTGCAGTTCTTCTAGATATTCATGGGTCATGGAGATATGCCGCTCGTAAGGATCGTATGGCACATGTATCTAGTTCAAAGTCATGTCGATAGTGCACAAGTTGTTTACCATCCTTTTTTGTTGTTTTCTTAACAGACTGAACACACATTTGAACAAAGGCGGAGAAAACACAAATACTTCAATACATTTTCCAAAAATATATATGAAAGGAAAATCCATGTATATGATTTTCAGACTTAGAAAAAAAAAACAGTATAATGAATATAATTAATAGATCCCGAAGTTTGACAAAATGCCTTTTCATTATTGTTACGATTTTACGACACTTTTGACACTACTTACACTTAATAGTGCTTCTGGAGAAGTTTTAATAGATTTTCATTTCCTGTTTTTGCCTGTTTTATCTTCTGATGCCCTTTTTCGGCACTTCGCCTTATTTGTAGCCTTTTCTGCATTTTCGTCATTATTTTCCAATTCCCCCCTCTTGGTACCGATCTGTACTAACCTGGAAACATACGTGCAAACCTGGACGACGTGAAGGTACGTTCGTGTATTATCTTTCTGTAGCCCGAAAGCTTCAATGTCAGGCTGTGTTAAAATTCTAAACGGAAAAGAAAGATAGTGAATATTTTTGATATTTTCGTTGATGCTGACAGACTTGTTCGCTCACGAGAAATCACATCATATGTTTGTGAATGGCCTCTGATCTCTTTTGAGGACAGCGGTCTGTATGAGATAAACCCCTTCTCAGTTCCTCCTTGTTCTCTCTCCGCTTCTGTCGACTACACAAATGCAAAGAAAAAACTTATAATTCTATTTTCACTGATACCATTTCAAAACGAAGTCCACAATAAATTCATAATGATCATACCGAATGGTCATGTGCAATCAAGATTAGAAAGAAAAGGAAGGTTCGTGTGTGAGCTAATATAAAATTTAAGAATTAGAATAACAAAGTAAATAATTTTAATCTTTCATTCCTTTACAATAACTACTATTATTTATTTTCCAACATTTCCTGTGTTTTTACTTCCGCTTTAGCCAAAATAATTGCCTTTTTTGCACGCCTATTTTAGTAAAAATAAATGTCCTTTTGCCTGCCTATTTTAGGTGCCTGAACTTCCGGGCTCTAGTAACGGATATCTTCCATCAACATATTTCAAAATCAGTAGTAAACAACTGAAAGAAAATAACAATAAATCTGATGAGACGATCCATGCATCTCCAAAAGAAAATAACAAAGACTCAGAGAGTCGGTACGAGTACTTTTCTTTATCTCGTATGCCGCAGTCGCTCCTTAACGCCGTCTGCGGCTGTCACCTCGCGCCGTCTACCGAGAACGCCGACATCGCCGCCTATCGCGGCCACATACAAGGCGTATTCGCCGAAGCCGTCGGCCCCGCCCTTTCCCCAAAGGCTTCTACGCTTATCGCTGCTCGCCGCGAAAGGCATTCTGACATAACCGCCACCAAGAAGCGACTCAATCAGAGGCCCGCAGTACGAGAAAGACACGATCTCACAAGAAATAGTCATTATCAATAAAAAAATTAAAATGTTTGTTTCCTTTGAATATGCCGCCTTTCTTGTATGTATATTCGTGATAATCAGTAATTAAAAGAAATTAACAAATAAAAATTGAAATAATTATTTGGTATATCATTCAGTTTTTTTGGCAAGGTTCGACAGTTATAGAGTCACATCCACTACCATACATGTATAAGGATTTTCTTACTTGCGTCTCCGAATAAATTAGAATACTCACGAATTGATTTTGATGTATGTGAAAAATGTGAAGCAGTTTGAAATTACTTTAATTTCACTGACCCTACTGTTTTCAGTTCGCGAATTGAAGTGCACTTGGCAAGAATAATCTTGTTTTATTAGGATTAATTAACTAATTGATTTGTGATTCCGGGCGTGTCAACTGCCAAAGCCATTAGTTCCGAAATTGTAGAGGATGGTTTTATCGCGGGAGGTGGCGGTGATGTCCCTCGCTGGATGGCGATATCCGGCGCCGACCTATGTCGGCTTCCGCGGATTTTCTCCAAGTATCTCGAGCGGGTCGGAGGGAGAATCTTAAAGCTCTTGACTGGTCTCCCGACATGT